CGGCTCCCTGCGAAGCGCGCCGCGCCCTCGCCCCCGATCTGGCGATCGGAGAGGACCAAGATCAGCAGGTTCGGCAACGCGCCTGGCTCCCAGATCGCCTCCGCCAGGCGCGCCGCGTTCTCGCCCCCGACCTGGTTCGCAGAACAGGGGTGCAACTCCTCGAAGTTCGGCAACGCGCCTGGCTCCCGCTTCGCCTCCTCTCGGGGCGAGCGGCGCCCTCGTCCTCCGCGCGGTTGCCGCAGACCGCGAGATGTTGAGCTCCTTCGGCTGCGGAGCGGCGCCCGAGGCGAGGACGGCTGCCACCTGTCCGGCCTCCTCGTCACCCCAATCTGAAGGGGCCCTGGGACACACAAATGAATGCACACAGATCCCAGGGTCCCCCATATGTTCCCACATCTTCGGGGTTTCCGTCTTCCCCCCCCCACACACTTCCCCTAGCTTCCCCTATTTTCCCGGGAATCGACGATTCATCGTGTCTGCGTTTTTTCCCTCCTGACAATCTCATCTGCCGTGGGCCAATGCCTCGGCGGCCGTGAACCTCTCACAAAACGCAGCGAGGCAGAGCTCAGCGGCCCTCGGACGCTCAACACCTTGCCATTCGTGAGCCTGCTGCTACGTAGCTGTACCTCGAGTGCGTCTGGCACGAAGAGGGGCTCTACGCCTCGCTGCACAGGTCGTCACGAGTGATCCAGCGTTGCCACGTTGTCCAAAATATCACGTCTCCACTCCGGTGGATTCGCCAAGGTCCACCACATTGACAGATGCCTTCGCCAGTGCCGCCCAGAGGGCTTCGCAATGACACCAGCCCCGATTGAATTGTTGCTCGGTATTTCCAGGCTTGGTATAGACCAGAGTTAGAATAGAAAAGCCCTAGAATAGAAAATCCCTGAAGCAACAATGTTTCGCTTTCGAAGTGGCCGGTCACAGCGCCTTCAAACATGATGGACCCACGAACCCGGAAAGGGATATAGACATGCGCAGCATGGTCACGTTTTCACGATACCCAACTGGGCGACATCTCACAAAACATCCCACGAGACACCCCGCGAAACATCCCACGAGACACCTCGCGAAACATTCCACGAGACACCTCGCGAAACGTTCCACGAGACACCCCGCGAAACATTCCACGAGACACCCCACGAAACATTCCACGAGACACCCCACGAAACATTCCACGAGACACCCCACGAAACATTCCACGGGGGTGCGACTGGGTGTGGTCGTGCTGGGGTGTGGTCGTGCTGGGGTGTGGTCGTGCTGGGGGGGTGGTCGTGCTGGGGGGTGGTCGTGCTGGGGGGGTGGTCGTGCTGGGAGGTGGTCGTGCTGGGGAGTGGTCGTGCTGGGGCGTGGTCGTGCTGGGGCGTGATCGTGCTGGGGAGTGGTCGTGCTGTGGTGAGGTCGTGCTGGAGTGTGGTCGTGCTGGGGTGTGGTCTTGCTGGGGTGGGGCCGTGCTGGGGTGGGGTCGTGCTGGGGTGGGGTCCTGCTGGGGTGTGGTCGTGCTGGGGTGTGGTCGTGCTGGGGTGGGGTCGTGCTGGGTGGGGTCGTGCTGGGGTGTGGTCGTTCTGGGGTGTGATCGTGCTGGGGTGTGGTCGTGCTAGGGTGGGGTCGTGCTGGGGTGGGGTCGTGCTGGGGTGTGGTCGTGCTGGGGAGTGGTCGTGCTGGGGTGTGGTCGTGCTGGGGGGTGGTCGTGCTGGGGGGTGGTCGTGCTGGGGGGGTGGTCGTGCTGGGAGGTGGGGCTGGGGAGTGGTCGTGCTGGGGCGTGGTCGTGCTGGGGCGTGATCGTGCTGGGGTGTGGTCGTGCTGTGGTGAGGTCGTGCTGGGGTGTGGTCGTGCTGGGGTGTGGTCTTGCTTGCTGGGGTGGGGTCGTGCTGGGGTGGGGTCCTGCTGGGGTGTGGTCGTGCTGGGGTGTCGTGTGGGGTGGGGTCGTGCTGGGGTGTGGTCGTTCTGGGGTGTGATCGTGCTGGGGTGTGGTCGTGCTAGGGTGGGGTCGTGCTGGGGTGGGGTCGTGCTGGGGTGTGGTCGTGCTGGGGAGTGGTCGTGCTGGGGTGTGGTCGTGCTGGGGGGTGGTCGTGCTGGGGGGTGGTCGTGCTGGGGGGGTGGTCGTGCTGGGAGGTGGTCCTCAGAATTCAGGTCCCCAGGAGAGGACAATCTATAACACAAAACAAGCGTTTCGCTCGAGACATCCTCACCATTTTCTGAAAAACAAGCGTTTCGCTCGAGACATCCTCAAATTTTAATTCGCGGGCGCTCAAAAACAAGCGTTTCGCTCGAGACATCCTCAAATTTTAATTCGCGGGCTCGTTATTTATCAGGGAAAAATTCGCCGGCCTCCTTCGACCTCGTTATTTATCAGGGAAAAAATTCGCCGGCCTCCTTCAAGCAGGCACCGGGGGACTATGTTTACATACTAAAAGAGAACCCTGGGCCTCTGCCCTTTCCGGGGAAAAGTCGGATCCCTCCTGCCGTTGATATGTACGCCTCTGGGCAACGCCATCGCGATCCCTACAGTTTTGGTGAATTGAACAAGAGAAC